ATGATCTTTTGTGCTGTCTTGACCACACTCTGGAGCCTCACTCTATCCACCTTGGTGCAGCTGCCATACCATACCGTGATGCAGTAGGTTAGCAGGCTCTCAATGGACGAGCGGTAGAAGGTCAGCAGCTGGTAAGAGGTAAATAAAATGTGGAAGAAAATTACAATAGATATAAACTATTACGAATACAAGAGACAAAAGCTTAAAAATTCAAGGATCTATCCTTAACGTTGTGTCAGTATAAGACAATTTTCTAAACTTTCCTTTGTTTTTTTTCTTTTCCCCCAATTTATCACTTATAAATGGCTTAAAACAACAAGAAGAATAAAATACAGTTGAATGCTTTTAAACACTATAGTGTATTGAGCATCTTAAGTTCACCCTTCTGATTCTGTCACATCTTTAAAACAAATGAAAACTTTCCACATTTTTAGTTTGGAGCTTTAGATTTAGAAAATAAATTATTTAGTGTCACACGGTCCTTCACATCTACTTTTACACTTATTTTATACTTATTTGCACTTATTTACATACAGCATGACAAATATTCTCTTTTATTAAATACTCATATGGAACAAAATTGCTGAACATTTCCCATTCAACAGCACAGATGTTAACTCCTAAAAATGTTAAATTCAGGTATTTTCTGGAAATGTTTTTAATTGACAAAAGAAGAAAGAGCCTTGAATTTTGACATTTACACAGTTCAAACTGTATAAAAATATAGGCCTACAGTCAAAGCCGATTTTGTAATTTTGGCTTTTTGGATCTGTTTTGTTGTTGTTGTTTTTTGACAATAAATTAAATTAAATTAAATTAAATTAAATTAAATTAAATTAAATTAAATTAAATTAAATTAAATTAAATTAAATTAAATTAAATTGCAATCCCAACTCATTCAATCCACACCAATCTGTTGGAACTCTTTCCTGGTGGTGGTGCTGTAGTATCCTTTAAATCTTTCATTCGGTGTGACTGTAAAAATATTTTCAGATTTTAACTTTAACTACATTTTCTTCCATTGTAAGTTGACAGCACTACCTCAGCAGTTTGAAATTTTTCGGTCACTTTAAAATCATTAATGGAGCCCAACCATATTCTTATTACCATATCATTACTGTTACAATATTATTGTTACTATATTATAACCTGTATTATTATTATTAACCTTCTTTTCCTGCACAAACCCCCCAAAAACCAAGTAAAATATAAGGGAGAAAAAAGCAGTGATGGAGAAAAAACAGGGCAAATCCTAAACGACATCATGAACACGTAACCCCAAACTCTAAATGTATTAATTATGGCAGGGGGAAAAAACAGATTCTTTTGTGTGTGTGTTTCTTGCAATCTCACAATCTCAGTAAAAACTTTTGTTTTTTCCCCTATTACTTTCTTGTTTCAAGTTAAAATCATTTATGCCATTTTTTGCCCTCTTAGATTGAACCCCCCTTTGCCCAATGCTGACATTTTAACCCAACCTCACTGTAGTAGTGGGACACATCCGTGACCTTTGAAGTGAATGTTGATGGAAAGCGTTGAAAAATGTAAAGGTTAACGAGTCATCCTTTTTCTGGGGATCGCACTACTCATAGTGGCTGACTGCAACGTGCACTAAGTGAGTGAAAGTGCCTGCGAGCACCCTGAACGGTGTGTATGTGCGCGCACGCGTGTATTTCGCTTGCACAACGCATTTGTTGCCGTAGGATGTGGTTTACTGTGCAACAACCCTATGCCGGAAACTCTACGACATCTATCAACTTATCATCCTCAATTTTTTTTTCTTGTACACTCACTGCTACTCTGTCTCTGCATGCTGTAGGCAATGCCGCCTCTCTTGGTATGACAAAACAAGGCAGTATTTCTCATTGCGCTTCTCATAGCTGGTAAAATGTTCCCCAGGGTGATTTTGAAGGGAACTCTGATCAAAAAATCTCAACAGAAGAAGCGAGTGTCACCCTGTAACTATAAAGAGCGATTTTTTGTGTTGGATACCCAAGACCTGAAGTATTCTGAACGTCGTCCCGGGGTAAGTACAGTATGTGCGGTTAATCTGTAGAGCTGTTTCAGGAATGCAGACTCTTGGCTGTTTGCTGTAATCTAAGCTGTTTTGTTGCAGAAAAAGCCTTTGCTGAAAGGTTGCATCGAGCTGTCCAGAATTAAGTGCGTGGAGATTGTGTGTACTGATGTGCCCATACCATGCAGCTTTAAGTACCCTTTTCAGGTAAGATTCATCATTTCCTAGAGACCAACTCAATTGTCACCGCATTAAAATCTACTAAACACTGCGACATACACCCTATATACAGTGTATGGTGAAGTATGACTGAAAATGACAACGCATATAACCTTTCTTTAAAATCTCAATTCTTCTGCAGGTTTTTCATGAAAGTTATTACCTCTACATATTTGCACCAGACAATGACTGCCGTCAGAAATGGGTCAGAGCTCTTAAAGAGGGTAAGCCATTACCATATATCACCAGTCAAATAATAATAATAGTACTATGACAAGTCGATGATAAACCGCTGATTGTATGAACTGCAAACACATACGGATGGATATTTCAAACAATATTTCCCTTGTTCTGTCTGATGTAGAGACAAAGAATAACAACTTAGTTCCAAAATACCACCCAAACTTCTGGATGGATGGAAAATGGAGATGCTGCCAGCAAACAGAGAAACTGGCGACTGGGTGCAACGTGTACGACCCAGTGGGCTATGGTTTGTAGCATTTCTTTTTCCTTCTCTTCTACTTCGTGAATCCAATGATTTGTGGTAGCGATTCCATTTGAATTAAGATATTTGTATGGCTTTCGCACATATGGTTAGAGTACACTTGAACGAAATGCTTTCGTTTTGCCTAATCCAGTTCATACCGTTGTTGCTTTGTGAGTTTAGATGGGCCAAATAGCTCTCCAATTTAACATTTCTGCTTCCCCTACAGCCTCTAAAAAGCCGCTTCCCAGCCTCCCGGAGCCAGAGGTACCACCATCTAAAACACAAACGACACAAGCTTTTGAAATGTTATTGTGGTTATTACTGATATTCCAATGAAGCGAGGGAGACCAAATCACTTTTTCAGTTTTAATGCCTGTCATGTTTGTCTGCAATACTTTTAAACACAGTTTCTCTCTACATATTTAATAATTAGGTCATGCATTGGTTTTTAACCACTTTTTGGTTTGGTTTTGTGTGTTCAGGCAGCAGCTCTGTAGTTCTTTCAGCGCACATGTGTTTGAGTGTTTACTTAAATAGATAGATAGTAGAAGAAATAGAAGTACATTAAAGTTTGTCAAATGAAAATCCTTGTTGATACTTTTTCCTTTGGCACTATGAAAATGTAATTTCATTTGAAAGCTCTGGATTTCGTATTTGTGTATGAACTTTTTGGGAAGAGTTCACTCAGACCTCTCAATAATTTGTACCAGGTTATTTCCACCACTTAAAAAACATTTTCCTGATTGGCAGAGCTAAATTCAAAATTTGGGGTTCTTATTGCAAAACTTCAGCTTCATGATTCTAAATCTCGAGTTATTTTCTCATCTCATCTCGGAAGTTTATGATAGTATGTCGAAATTTAGAGGTAATAACCCAAAATTTTGTACATACCTGTACAAATGGTTTTTAAATCAGATTTTTTCCTCCCTTTCCAGATGGAGCTGGAAGATTCGGGGCAACAGAAGGTCATCGCTTTGCAAAACTACACGCCACAGGGAGACAATGACTTACCTCTTCAGAAAGATCAGGAGTATCTCCTGGTTAAGAATTCCCATTCCACCTGGTGGCTTGTACAGGATGAGAGAGGGTAAAGCGCATTACAGCCAATGCCAAATTCATTTGAACTGTTTACATTAAAAAATAGCAGTACATTTCAAAAGAAGAACCATTAGCTAAATCCCTTTTCCTGTCACCCATTAGGAACTCGGGTTTTGTGCCCAGTACATACGTAGCTGAAAAATCCATCCACAACTTTGAAAGATTTGAGTGAGTTTGAATTCATTTCTTTTACTCGAGCTTTTAATTTGCAGTGTTTATTGCTGCTAATGAATTATCATGTTTTCCCTCCAAAACTGATTTAATTGTTGTGTTAAATGTTTAATGTGTTCTCAACAGATGGTACAACAAAAACATTAGCAGAGCGCAAGCAGAAGAATTGCTAATGAAAGAGGTAAAAACAAAAACTCAGTTCTGTTTGGCAATAAAATTTCAAATAATGATTTTGATATGATGATGACAGGCAAGATTTAGCCCCCGTATGACACAGTGCATTTTGATGCGACTGTGCCGCCAACAGCAATGTTGCATTTGCAAAATCGCTGCATATGCACCTGCACAACGACAATTCGACTTGACATAGAACATGAAAAAAAAAAATTCTCACAACCACAAAGTTTCCTCCAATGTTGAATTTCCTGCTTTGCTAAGTTTTGCAAGCAGGAAGGGAAAACGGTTATCCATCGTCGTCTTTGAATTAAAACGGCCGCCAGACGTGTTACAGAATGCACCGCCGAACGTGGGAAATCTTATGTGATCTCGTTATTCTGTCTTTAGGGTAAGGAAGGTGCATTCATTGTGCGGGACTCAAGACAGGCGGGAGTGTACACAGTGTCTGTTTTCACCAAAGCACCAGGGTAAATGTTATTTATAGTGTTCTTATGAATTTACTTAAAAAATATCTATCAAACAACTCTATAATGACTATAACAGTCATATATGGTTACTTATATCATGAAAAAAAATTGATGGCTCATAGGATTTCAATCATTTTAAGTGATCGTTAAAGATGTAACCAATGAGAATTAAGTATAAGATTAGTGTAATCTTGTGATATTTTTCTGATCTTCCAATGTTTATGTGTAATCATCTGCTCAGGCAAACATTTGCTTTAAAAATGTTTGTTAAGTTAAGCATATATTCTCATCAGGTCTAATGGGGAGAAGAATCCGAGAGTGAAGCATTACCAAATCAGACAAACCGAAACGAGCCCAGCTTCTTTTTACCTGGCAGAGAAGTACCTGTTTAGCACCATTCCTGAGCTCATATATTACCACCAGCACAATGCTGCAGGTAAGTGTGCCAGCTTTTCTCATGCAACAGCATTATTTCAAAAAGTTCAAAGGATAAATGAAGTTCATCTTATGAAACAGCTAAATTCTTGGTCCTGCTTTTTACATTTCCCGTTGTCTCTTTCTCTTTGTGCAGGGCTAATAACACGGTTGAGACACCCCGTCTCTCAAGGTCGATGCTGCTCCCAGGATTCTACTGATATCGCAAAAGGTTTAAGTCTTTTTGTGATGCCCGAAGTTTGTTGAACTAAAGCTCCAAGCAGTCCTAATTTATTGCTGTGAATCTTGTTTTTGCTGACCTCTGGTGGGTTGCACAGAATTACACTTCAGGGCTGTTAAGTAACTCCACCCTTTTGTCTTTTAATATAAACCAATGTAATACAAATTAATCTTTGCTGGACAAAAAGCAAGTGAAAATGAGAAAAAAAAAGTCCTTTTTTATTTGTGAAACTTGCATGAAGAAGTTTAACTCTATGGTTATATAACTGAGCTATAGTGTGGATGCTTTGGTTCACTGCTGGTTTGCTGGTTAACAGATCAGTGGGAAGTGGACCCTGAGGAGCTGATACTGGGTCAGGAGATAGGCAGCGGCCAGTTTGGACTGGTGCTGGAAGGTAGCTGGAGGGATCTCAAGGTAGCGGTGAAGATGGTAAGAGAAGAGTGCATGTCAGACGACGAATTTAAAGAAGAGGCACGGATTATGATGTAAGTACAGTTCACGGTGGAGATCTGTAAAACGAGTTTGAAACCACTCAGTTTATCTGTGCATGTGTGTTTTAACAGGAGACTCTCTCACTCTAAGCTGGTACAGCTGTATGGCGTGTGCACACAACATTCTCCTATTTGCCTCGTGTTTGAGTACATGGAAAACGGCTGCCTGACGGACTACCTGCGAGAAAGGAAAGGCTCGTTGTCTCAGGATATATTGTTGGGGATGTGTCTGGATGTCAGCGAAGGGATGGCTTATCTAGAGATGTCCAACTTCATCCACAGAGATCTGGTAAATAAATAAAGTGCTCTTTCACGATACACTTTCATATCCCTGCTTTGTTAGAGGACTTTATCCTTCCTTTCTTCCTTCCAAAGGCTGCCAGGAACTGTCTCGTCTCAAAGAACAACGAGGTGAAGGTATCGGACTTTGGAATGACCAGGTATGTTCGTGAAGATCAGTTTTTTAAATTATTACATAACATTAATGTCACAGTGAGTCACAGCTTATGGTCTGTGTCCACTCTCCATACCCTAGATTTGTTCTTGATGATCAGTACACGAGCTCACAGTGCTCCAAGTTCCCTGTCAAGTGGTCAGCCCCAGAGGTCATCAGATACTGCAAATTCAGCACCAAGTCTGACGTCTGGTCATTCGGTGAGTTTGGGCGCTTGTCTGCCATTCAGCTGTTTGGTTTGCATTTCTGATTCACTCGTCTGGCAAGTTTTGCAGGTTGGGTGAGAGCAGATTAAATCATATTTGTTTTCCTGATGGCACATGTGCTCAACTGTAGTTAAATAACACTGCAGTGGTTTAGACGTTATATATTAAACAATTCTTTTTATCCTGTGAAAAAAAAAACTGTGCTCAAACTGGAGCACAGTTTTCTTGGGCAGACTATTACTGCAGTTATCCGTGACAAAGCCATTTTTTTTGGTAAATTTTTATATAAAATAGTCTAAAAGCTAGCCATTTTCATGATTCAGTGACAATTAGTGGATGCACAATAAGCTCAGACAATTGCCGAGGTTTGAAAGGAGATTAAACAGACAGAAAGCTTTTAGCTTGACGTCATCTTTGGGGGAAAAAAAAGATTCTGTATTATGAATCTATGATTTTCTTGTGTAAAACGGATGTGCTAAAACTAAGTAAAAATAAAACATATTATAACTTCTACAATAGGGGTTATTATTTCTATTTCTAAACAGATTTGAATTATGACCTATTCTAAAAAGGTCTGGATCCAATTACTGACGTCCCTTAGAAATCGTGAAAAACAAATGAACTGCAGTGACAGTTTAAGCAGGCTATTGCTTTTCATTGGTAACACAAGTGTTTTCAATCATGATTCTATGCATTGAAATGGTAAAAGAGTAATAATTCAGCTGTATAGTATCATTGTTACACTGATGATGGGCAGGAGAAAGAGGGGAAAAGTTTGTCTGAGGTGTCTTTCAAAAGATTCTTTATGTCAAGATTTTTACTTCCTGGTTAAATAACGGTTTAAAACTAAAAGAGACAGTCGGACCATCTACAGGCTGTGTGAAGTTCTTGAGACTGCAGCTGCTAAGAATATTAGGAAACTCTTTCATTGGATTCTTTCATGCCGGCTTCAGTGGATGAGGCTACCAGAGGAACATTAACTCCAGACTAAACAGAGCTGATTTAAAGGATCAAAGTGCAAAAGCGTCTGTCGACACCATACGTCGGTTTCTGAATGAAGGTTGATAAAGAGACCCCGCTTTTGAAAGAGGATTATAAAAAAAACCCCTTAAACTTGTGTTTGATAAAATACAAATAGACAAGTCAAAGCGGTTCTTGTTGGATGAAGTTTGGGATTTAAAACTAGTTTCCAAGTTTGCCGAAAAAAAGAAGCTTTTGAAGAAAAGAACGCCGGGGACGACGGATTTCATCAAGATAATCTGGAGTGAAATACATTTATGTACCTGTGCCAGAGCTCTGTGCCAGTCACAGGCCAACGCTGCTTCTTCCAACAGTATAAAGATCTGAAACATACTTCCAACAAGATGGACTGAAACAAAATCACTTGAGCCGAGTGTGGAAAAAGCTGAAACTCACAGTGGGGGGAAAACGTGTTCATCAAACCTGAATGAACCGCAGCGGTTTGAACATGAAGAGTCAAACAACCTACAGAGATGTGTGAGTGTGTGTGTGTAGGTGTGTGTGGGGGTAGGTAAGTGGGTGAAAGGGAGGTGGGCGTCCTCTTGTGAAGAATCACAAAAACTGCTCAGCTGCACAATATTACAATTAAGGATCAAATACTTTAGGCAGACGACTATATTTGTTGTATTGAATGAAAGCGAGATGAATTACTTTTAAAGTAAGAACTTACAGCAGAGCAAATTTTAGGTGTGTGTGTGT